CCCTTCCCTTCTATTCCTCTTCCGTTCCTTCCTTCCTTCATCCATTGATTTCCTTTCCTTTCCTTTCCTTTCCTTTCCTTTCCTTTCCTTTCCTTTCCTTTCCTTTCCTTTCCTTTCCTTTCCTTTCCTTTCCTTTCCTTTCCTTTCCCTTCCCTTCCTTTCCTTTCCTCTCCTCTCCTTCCCTTCCCTTCCCTTCCCTTCTATTCCTCTTCCATTCCTTCCTTCCTTCCTTCCTTCCTTTCTTCATCCATTTACTTCCTTCCCTTCCCTCAGTTGTGACTGAATTATTGCGGTTGTTAAGTTAGTCACCTGCTTCCCACTTGACTTTGCTCATCAGAAGTTTCACAAGAGGGAATCACAGGACCCTGGGACACTCCACACCATCATAAATGCGAGTCAGTTGCCAGGTTTCTGAATTTTGATCACGTGACTATGGGAATGTTGCAACGGCCGTAAGCGTGAAAAATGGTCATAAGCCTTTTTTTTTTCCCCAGTGCCTTTATCACTTTGAAAAGTCACTAAATAAATTGTTGTAAGTCTTGGACCAACCGTTCTTGCCAGATTTTTTTAGTGAAAATGGAAGAAAGTGAAGGGGTGATTTTGGATTCTCAAAAGGGTTGGAGATGAGGCGGAAGGGAAGTTTGCAATGTTGAAAATGGCAGAGACAAAAATGGTTGGTTAACATTGAAAAAAAAAATCAAACAGCTTAATTTTTCTGATTCATGTTTAATTATCTTGTTTCTCCATCCCCCCCTTTTATTGTCTTCAATATCTTAATTAATGACTTAGATGAGGGAATAGAAGGAGAACTTACCAAATTTGCAGATGATACTAAGCTGGCAGGAATAGCCAACACCTAAGAAGATAGGCTCAAGATCCAGATGGATCGTGACAGACTCGAACCCTGGGCCCCATCTAACAAAATGAAATTCAATATAGAGAAAAGTAAAGCCCTACACTTAGGCAAGAAAAACCAAAAATACACATATAGACTGGGTGAAACCAGGCTCTGTTAGGAATAACATAGGTTACCTAACGTAGTTTGGGTAAAATAATATATATAAACTATGATTGTAAGTTTAAGTGTGTGTCACTTTAAAACTGCAAAGCATGTAATTTTGGGTGCGGTGTGAAACCACCATAAGAGGGAGCAAGAGAACCTGACAATTACTGGATTGCATGGATTGATGGTTTGTTAACTGCGTGTTTCCTACTGCTGAGTTGCTGAAGGAAGAGAGGAGTTTTTGACTTCTTCATATCTCTACTGCAAGGAGATATATTACTGGACTGATATTTGTAAGTTTACTGACCTCTCTTTTTCAACACTGGAATTTGCAACTGAATAATCCCTGGACGGACTGAACTAGTGAATGATATATGGACTGTTTGACTATGCTATAACTCTTACTGGAATAAACTATTTAATTAGCACTGTGTATCTGTTTTACTGAGTGTAAGCTACAAAAACGTTTATCTCACATATTTTGCCTGCCTGCCTGACTGCTGTGCAGATTCTGCTAGGGTGTCTCCCTAACAGGCTCAATAGCAGGAACTGGGAGAGGGATCTTGGAGTCTTAGTGGACAACCAGCTCAATAGGAGCCAGCCGTGTGCAGCAGCAGCCAAAAAGGCCAATGCAATCCTAAATTGCACTAACAGAAGGATACAATCGAGATCAAGGGAGGTACTAATACCACTTTATAAAGCCTTAGTAAGACCACACCTAGAGTACTTCATCCAGTTTTGGTCACGGTCGGAAATGAATCCAAATAACAAAAACTTGGATCGGGGAAAACACAGAGATTTTATTTGTTAAGCTGTTTGCAAAGAGTGGGGGGAATCTCAGCTGACTTCAACATGAAGTTTGAGCCAAGAACTACACCTTAAGATTTCAATACATTACATTTTATAGTTTTTCTATCCCGAGACCCCATACTCCTCCTACATCGGGTCCAAAATGACCGAGCGCAGCTAGTCTGAAACAGTTGATGGAACAACACCTCCCAATGACCACCCATCACATATTTTATCAACAGGGCTTTTTCTTACCTTACTTAGCATTCAGGAATGTCCCTCCAGCAGGGCCTCTTTCTTACAGTCCAAGAACAAAGAAATATCTATTCCTAACCCCACCCTTCTTACATATTAAAATTACGTTCGGCACGTCTTCTTTCTAGCCACCTTAGAATAACATAATGATTATGTTTAACATATTCACCTACGCAAAGTAAAAATCTGGTTATAACTTAAAATCACACAATGTGCCAAGATTAAACTTAAGCAGGTGCTTTGAAAAACAAAATCTAACTTCAGTTATTCAAGGAAGTTTTATCTTCTCCCACTGTGCTCCTAATTGATGACTTTGGTCTTTTGTTATGTCAAATGTGTGTGTGAATTGCCTTGACAGTTTGAGATACAAGTACCAATTCCTGTAGGAAATAGAGGTGGCATTACTTGATACAGGAGGATGTAATAGATTGCAGGTACATATCTAACAATGAGTAAATGCATAAGAAAATATGTTTAAAGCAGGATTACATCAAGATAGCAAAAGCCTATAGAGCAACTGTCTTCTTAATGCGATAATATATAGTATTCTATTCACCCTACATTTTTTTTTTTATGAACAAGTTTTATTGTTGAAGACAAACAAAACATAACACATAGAAGTATAAAACCTCCTTTCTAAGAATTACTTATAAATTTCAACAAGGCAAATAAAGCATTATTTTTTAAAACATAGTTCCACATTATCACACTTCCATTTACACATATATATCTTTTCCAAATTTCTCATTAATTCTCCCTTCACTTTCATTCAATCATATTTCCTTCTATCAAAGTTTCAGTAATTCTCAATCAGTCATAAGCACACAAAATACATAACCTAAAGCAAAACTTTGGAGAAAAAAGAAAAAAAACTCCTTAGTTATCATTTATACATATCTTTTCCCAATTTCTCTCCCTTTAATTTCATTTCTCCAAGATTTTATTAATTTAGAATCAAACGTAAATAATCCACACACTAAACATAAAACATAAAACTTCTTTTGAGAAGTGACTTGGCCCCAGGTTACATCTTTTTTGACAGACCTAAATCAAATTCATGCCCACCTTATATACCCTTCATATCTTATTAACCATTTTGTATTCTCTATATAACTTCTCCCATCTTTTCACTCTCTTAATTATGTTTTATTTATTTCATCTTATTTCAAAATCATTATACTTATATCTTTTGTCCGTTCTTTACCAAACATCTATGTATCTCTTCCCTTTAACAAAAAATTTTCCCTGTCCCTACATTTTATTTTTGAATTTTCTTATTTCCAACATCACCCACACTATAAAAAAGATGTTAAGACTCTAGAAAAAGTACAGAGAAGAGCAACCAAGATAATGAGGGGAGTGGAGATTAAAACATATGAAGAAAGGTTGCAGGAACTGGGCTTGGCTAGTCTAGGGAAGAGAAGGACCAGGGGAGACAGGATAGCAGTCTTCCAATATTTGAGGGGCTGCCACAGAGAGGAGGAAGGGGTCAAGCTATTTTCTAAAGCACCCGAAGGCCGGACAAGGAACAATGGATGGAAACTGATCCAGGAGAGATTCAACTTGGAAATGCAGAGAATTTTTCTAAGAGTGAGAACAATCAACCCATGGAACAGAAGTTGCCCTCAGAAGTTGCAGGAGCTTCGTTACTGGAAGCTTTCAAGAAGAGACTGGACTGCCATCGGTCAGAAATGGTGTAGGTTCTGCTTGGGCAGGGGGTTGGACTAGATAACCTACAAGGTCCCTTCCAACTTTGATTATTTGTATCTGTCTGGCTATCTACAGCCTTTTCCCTCTTTCATTCTTTTAAACGTACTGTATCTTACAGCACGATCGTTGGGAATTCTGGGAGTTGAAGCCCCCACCCCCCCATCTTAAAGCGTGCTGGCCTGGGACTTCTGGGAGTTGAAGTCCATACATGGTGGCTAGGGGGATTCTGGGAACTAAGTCCAATTATCTTAAAACACGCTGGCTTGGGACTTCTGGAAGTCCACATGATGACAGGGGGGATTCTGGGAAGTTCAATTATCTGAAAACATGCCGGCCTAGGAATTCTGGGAATTGGGGCATTCTGGTAGCTGAAGTCCAATCCCCTTCAAGCACGTCCGCTGAGCAGGTTGGAGAAAGATCCATCTGGAATGTTTAGCAGGGACAAAGTTGAGATCTCTCCAGCGAAATTGCCGTTTTCCCCTTCAAACTTTTGGGGAAAGCGCAGACCACGTCTTCCTTGGAGAACCAATCCACGTTGCTTTCCCGGGCCCAGTTGAAGAGAGCCTGCAGGCGGCAGTCACATGCCCATGGGTTGTCGGAGAGCTCGAGAGTGAACTCGGAAGACACGTTGACCAAGGGAATCTCCAGGGAGGTGATCTCGTTGGCGGAGAGATCCAGCTGCACCAGGTTCTCCAAGGACTGAAAGAGCCCAGGTGGAACGTGGGTCAGGCTGTTGTTTCTCAGGGAGAGGACCCACAGCGTGGGAGTCCCACGGAAGGTGTCGGGGGCGATAGACACAACCAGGTTGTCTTTCAGAATTAAATCCGTTAGAAACGTGAGGCCTTGGAACATCTCCGGAGAAAGGCAACGGAGGAGGTTGGAGGAAAGGTCCAGGGACAACAACAGGGTCAGTTTATGGAAGCAATTGGGCGGGATCTCCTTCAGCTGATTGCCATTGAGGCGCAGGATCCTGAGTTCCTTCAGGGTTTCGAACCAGGATGGGCGCAGCTCAGTCAGCTGGTTTGCATCGAGGGATAAGTCGGCCAGTCTACTGATGGGCGCGAAGAGATCCGCAGGTAGATCTTCCAGGAGATTTCCGTAGAGGTCCAAGGACTGCAGTGCTGGGAGGTTACGGAAGAGGCCGCTTGGAAGGGTCTTCAACGGGCTGCGGATCAGAGAAAGCCCCTGGAGCTCTGGGAGACCCTGCAGGGCCTCCGCACCCAGGTTGGAGATCTGGCTCGACCGAATGATGATGGTCTCGGTTTCACTGGGGAAGCCGGAGGGAAATTCGCGGAGCAAAGAGTTGCACTCAAAAGTAGTGTTGCTTTCTGGACCTGGATATTCGGGCAGGCAGGGAGGAACCTGCTGGGTGTAGCTGTTCAGCGACATCACAAGGCAGGCGATCAGAAGAGGTGGAGCTGGAGGCCTCATCCTATGGAGAAGCCGGGAGAGAAAAAAGAGAGGCGGCAACATCTTAAGTTTCCCTTTTGTTCGGACTTAGGCTTCACCAAAATCACGAAGCAGACTCCTCGTCCCGACAAACGCCCCCCCTTTTCTTGAAAACAGTTTTATTGGTTTTTTTAAACAAACAAACAAAAACAGACAAAACATAAAAGCCTCAGCTCTCTTCCATACTTATATACAACCAGTGTGTTGGTTGGTTCATCAGTTTTGTGCATCCATTTCGTAGTCTCAATTACAGTTATGTTACCTGATAACACTTATTATCAATCCCAACTTATATATCCTCATATCGTTGTTAAAAAAAAAATCATTTGACTATTGTTTTATTCATTCGTACTTTATGAGATAACTATAATTTAAATAATTTATTCTATAACAAATCATATAATCACGCCAATTCTATCCTAGAAAAAACACTTTATAGATATAGTATCTAATAGCAAAAGAAAAAGAAAAAACAAAGATATTCCTTATTATCTAACATTCTAAATATTCTATTGTTGTATTTCATCATCCAACCATTGATAGAAAAGGTCCCAAATTTTATAAAATTGCTAAGCTAATGGGGATTCCTCTCATTCACTTTCCAGCAAAGTCCCAGAAAACAGTCTTTCAAGCCAGGAACCCTCTCCCCCTCCTCTGTTTCTTCCTTCCATTCCCAGATGTGGAATGGATTTTTTCTTCCGTTCAATTCCACCGTCATCAACCTATTGCTCAGTTGGGGTTGAGAGCTCTCCAGAAATACCTGCAGTGCCTCCCGGCTGTGTTATTTCCAATTTTCATACAGGGCTGGGAATAGAAGGTGGCCAGACTGGGCTGAGGCTGTCGACTGGAAGTGCTATTCAACTATTCTCTTTCTCTTTCTCCTTCGTTCCCTTCTTCTCTTTTTCCTTCCTTCCTTCCTCTCTCCCTTCCTTTCCCTTGACTTCCCTCTGTTTCTACTTCCTTCCTGCCTCCTATCCATCCCTTGCTCTTTTTTATTCCTTCCTCCCTTTCTTTCTCCCCACTCCCTCCTACACTTACCTCCACCCTTCTACTTTTCCTTCCTTCCTCCCTCCCTCCCTCCCTCCCTCCCTCCCTTCCTTCCCTTTTTCTTTCTTTCTCCATCTTCCTCCCTTCCTTCCTCTCTCCTTTTCTTTGTTTCTTTCTTTCCTTCCCTCTTTTTCTTTTTTTCTCATCTCCCTCCCTTCCTCCCTCTCCCCCTTCCTTCCTTCCTTCCTTCCTTTCTTTCTTTCTTTCTTTCTTTCTTTCTTTCTTTCTTTCTTTCTTTCTTTCTTTCTTTCTTTCCGTCTCTTTCTTTTTCCCTTTAATTCTCCATCTCCCTTCCTTCCTCCCTCTCTCCCTTTCTTTCCTTCTTTTTCCTTCTTTCTCCATCTTTCTCCCTTCCCTCCCTCTGTCCCTTTCTTTCCTTCCTTCCTTCTGTCTCTTTCTTTTTCCTTCTTTCTCCATCTTCTTCCCTCCCTTCCTCCCTCTCTTCTTCCCTCCCTCTCTCCCTCCCTCCCTCCCTCCCTCCCTTCCTTCCTTCCTTCCTTCCTTCCTTCCTTCCTTCCTTCCTTCCTTCCACTCAGTTTGTGCAAGTAAGCGAAAGAGTGCGCACTTACCTGTAGCTTTCTCCAAACGGAATGCCTGCCAGCCTCCCTCTTCCTCAAATGCTGGGGACCTCAGGAACCCTCTTATATACCTGCACTGGGGGTGGGGGTGGGGGTGGGGGGTGAATTTGCTGTCCTCAAACATTAGTAAGAATTTCCCCTGTCCTGATTGCGTCATGGGGACAACAAACAAACAAAAAAAGATTCAGTGCACAACTGAACCTCTGTTCAAGGGCAAAGACCAATGTTGACATTTCCCCTTTACCTGAAGTGTTGGGGTTATTTTTATTGCAAAAAGAATATTTCTCCGTTGTTGTTTTTGGAAAAGAAACAATTTCCTCATCTCTTTGGAAACTCTGCCTAAAACAAGCAGGGGAAAAGAAAACTCACACCTAGGTCTCAGGCTGCTCCCATTTCCACATTATCCTTAAAAAAAGCATCTCAAGAAGAAATGGAAAAAGTGCAGAGAAGATCAAAGGCCTGGAAACAACAACATAGGAAGAAC